CGGGTCTTCGTCTAATCTGTTACAGTAAACCTGTGCCAAAGCCTGAAGGGAGTCAGTGAGGGCTTGCTAGGAGTGGGGTTGACGTGGAACCATTTGTGAAGACGAGCGATTCTCTTAAGTAAGAAACTAACAGTGTCCAGAGAGAGAGAGAAAGCTAGAGGGTGAGCAAGACAGGAGGTAAGGAGAATGAGTGAGAGTACGAAAGAGAGAGAAGGAGGAAGAGATACCATAATGAGTCCTGTAGCCATGGAGCAAATGAAGAGGGATTGACAGAGTGAGGGATCCTCAAGTGAAATAATGTCAATGCCACTCTGCCCATTAGAGAGAAAGGGGGATGGTGGAGAAGAGGGTAAAGAGGGATGAATGAAGGGATACAGCTACATCTTAGGGTGCAGAGGAAACACATAAATTATTTGTGACATCCCCGCAACACACAAACCACTAACAAAAATATGAAATATGAAACAACAAAATGAACTGACAATAGCAGGTGGAGAAAAAAAAGAAATGAAAACAAAAAAAAGGCCTTGGAAATACCCAATAAATTCTCTGAGACATGTAGTTGGGATATTTGATGTTGAACAATAATAATCACAGTGACATCTGCCTTGCTGCTCTCGGAGGAGATGGGCAGAGCCTGTGAGTGGAAGGGGTTAATCTCCCAAACCCAATAAGGTTGGATAGTGAGGCACTTGTTCCCTGATAAAGAAGTGATAGGATCTGTGGGTCTGGTCCCTCGGCGCTTGTACAGGGGTAGAGCAAATATTGTTAATGTGCTGTGGTTTACTTCGGCTAAGGCGAGAAAAACAGCTCTGTTTGACAAGAGAAGACAGCGGCAAACCAGAATACGACAGAAATGGCCACGCGGCTCGGCTCGGCTTCCCAGGGACTTAACTGGCACATATATCCAAGACCACTCAGTTGCATAAATAAGTGTAAGGGAAGATTAAGATCTATAAGTGTCTCTATTTCTTGTTTTACCTGCTTGTCACAACAGGGATCTGAATGCAGTTCAGTGGAGTGCCTAATAACTGGAGCAGTAGGTAGGGAAGGCAGGAGGCTTGACATTAAGACCCTGGCGTTTTGGAAATCCGATACGCTATTGACCCGTGTACTACTATCTCAGCGTAGAGATCTGGTGTCAGCAGATTGTAGTCTGGTGTTGGGAGCCGTTTCTTACAGGGCTCCTGTAACAGGGGCCCATTGAGTCTGGGAGGCAGCTGGGGCCTGATGGGCTAGAGCTGGGTGGTGATCGATACTCACCGCCCTGCAACGGATGACCTCACTGTCATGGCTGCCGGCTGTGGACACTGCATGCTAGTCATTAGTGCCGGGGCACCAATCAGGAGCTTAGAGTTGTCAATACCTGACTCTTACAGATACTGTGGCCATCTGTCAGTGTATTGTGTAACGGTCTAAACAAATGTGGGGAAGCTCCTTCGTACAATAAGAACAAGGTGTACTATTGAGGAATAAAATATCCCTCATACCCTCATGTATGTGATTTAAGAAACCAGCGAGTGAAAATGATTTCACACAGCTTAGACTTAACATAACAACTTTTAACAAGTCTGTAAAAATAATACAAATCGGAAAATTAAAGGATAAAAAAAATTAATGAAATTGAAAGGACAGCCAGCCTCCACTGTCGATGCAACCTTCTTAATAATACAACATTATCCTTATTTGCCCTCTTCACTCAAATCAAAGGGATGGACATTTATGCATGAGTGACATCAACCCTGCAATTAAGTTGGCCATTTAAATGAGAGAAGGCCTTCCTCACCTCGTGTGTTTGTTTTTCCCCCACCCTCTCTCTTCTTTTTTTCCCCCATTCCCTCTCTCTGTTTGATGATGGGAGTGGGTGAGCTAGAATTAGGGCGATGGGTCTTCCTTTGAGTGTCAGCCTAAAATGATCAGAGTAAAGATAAGAGGGTCTAGCAGCCCTCAAATCAGTCAAAGTGCCAAAGTCGGCCTTTTTCTCCTCAATTACCGGGTCTGTGAAGCCAGGGAGTGGAAGGCGCCGAGCCTGCTGCATTACTAAAGAGACAATCTATTTCCCCTTTGACCAGAGGGAAAGAAATCATTATGGCATGATTAGTAGCTTCGGCAGTGGGCGAGCATGGAGGTACTACAGGAGAATCGTATTAATTGCCTTAGACCAAGGCATGAGTAGGATTGTTTTAACGTTGATTTGTGAACCTGTATGACTAGCTGTCGGAGATAAAAGCTGATGTCAGGTCTTAGTTATACTGGCAGACTTCGGGCATGCAGACAGAGAGGGTTTATGTCAAAATGAGCTTCCGTGGCTGCTCTGGAAGTCTTTCTCTAGATGCCTGTCGATGTCTTCCTCTTTGTCTTTCTTCACACTTCATAGTTTTCCTTTACGCCTCCCACTATCCCTCCCTCTACTCCCCCCTTCCCTCAGATGGACTACACCCACCCCTTCCCGCACTCCCTTTCTCTCTCTCCTCCAACTGATAGCTGCCTTGGCCGATTATTTCATCCAGTGCGGTCCACTGAGAGCCTCCTCTCCCGGCTTTGGAAGAGCTTTAATTAGCCATGTTAATATCCCCTTCATTGGCCTTAATATCACTCAACACCTTCCTCCATCTCAGCGGCCACCAGGGTCCCCCTGTCCTGTCAGAACAGCTGATTATTGAGAAGGATAGCTTTAATCAAACCTAATTGCAGTTCATTCTTTCTCTCTATCCCCCTTTGCCCTCCATTGCCAACATCTAATGGCAGCGACGACTTGATATCCCATTAAAAAACAATTAAACAACCTCCTTTTGTCTCCGTGCGTGCCAAAACACCAGCACAAACTTCTGTAGATATTTAAGAAGTAAAAGAGAGAGAGAGGGGCCTTGTCTTAATTGCTCTCCTTTTCACCAAGGACCAATTTGCTCTGTGCTCATAGAGAATCTTAACCAACTCAAATGTAATGGATGCTATAGCACTGCCACTGCTGTGGACTATGAAAATTAAGCTTATCTTTTTAGCAGAGAAATTGTGCTTAATTGCCTTCATAACAGTAAACATAAAGGAGCTACTTTATGATAGCGTGGGCACTCAATTTCTTGTGTTTATTGTTTCTTAACTTTTGGTTTTGCTTTAGTAGAAACAGTATGTAAAAGCATTAAAGTAGCCAAGAAAAGAGACAAGACTAACTCTGAAAGTAATGTGTTTCTTTTATGAAGTCAATGCATTGCCTAGGAAGTGTATTCTATCTTGTGCTCTGACATAAATCGCCTACCAATGGGTGATGCATGTATGCACATGCTCACATACACACACACATTTACGTGCGTACATGTGCGTGCATGTACACACACACACACACACACACACACACACACACACACACACACTGGCCTTACCCAATCTGTATGAGAGGCAACAGACAAATAAAAGTCGTATTTCAGGTCTGCTTTCCGCAGATGTCTGCTGCTCTACATTATGACTCTTTGGGGAAATAAAAACAGGGTCAGGGAATTAGAGTACATAATGGTCATTTTGATGATCAGCCAACAGATGCAACCCGAAAACACAGTGAACACAATCAAGTGAAATGCACTAATGACAAGTCAGGTTTTTTATGGCCTCACCACACACCGACAGGCAATCAGCATTCTGGCATGGGTTAAAACGTCTTTTATTGATGTCCAAGCCAAAGCTCCTTGGATGTGGAGTGAAAATATTTTCTCACCTCTCCTCTCCCTCCTGGGCCCTCAGAGAAGCACAAGGTATAGGAGTCTATCGAAGAACGCTTCTAAATGACCAGTGCATGTGTTAATGTGGCCAGGGTTAGAAGGGTCATTTCAGACTCTGATTTATGGTTTGGCCAGGATCCCACTGGGTGAACGAGAAGTTTTAAGTGTTGTGAAAGCATCCTCACAGGCCACACAAGCCACTGTATTTAGCTGAATGAAATGGCCATGCAATCTATGGTGCAATCTATGGTAATCCAATGAGCCACTGTGAACCAAGGTAGTATTACAATGGAAACCACAGTATTGCATATAGTAATGCTAGTGCAATGTGATGAAAAATAAATATCACAGCACTGTATGTATAATGAATTGGAGAAAGCAAAGGCACAATCAGTCATGATTCTGTGGGGAGAATTTGCAAAAACAACAAGTCAATTTCATTGTTTATTCTCCGTGGTTGTGTAAGATTTTACACAATAGGCTACATCTGAGACAATTTTTCTTATTGGCCTCATTGTTAATCTTCCTCGTTTTAACTATTTTGTGTTTGTGAGGCCACATCTGATATTCATCTCTCAATACCAGGCTTTACCAATACATTCTGCGAGACCTGAGAAAGCAGGAGAGCAAGGCAGCGTAGAAACTAACCAAGCCCAGATCTCACTCAGACGTGACATTTGTTCAGAGACGATTAGCCAGGTTGTAATTTGTGGCATAATTGCCTCACCCACCCACAAGTGCATGGGTGTGCGTGTATGCGTTGTATGTCTGTGTGTGTGTGTGTGTGTGTGGGGCATACGGTGGTCCCAGGAGTGTCCGCCTAATTGCCTGACAGGACTATAAGTTTTGTGGCGCGCTCTCACCTTGTTAGGTCCTTTATCCCTGATGCTCTTCAAACAAGACCTGGTCACAGGTGGGCCTCATTTGCTTCCCTATTGAACAGGAGAACTTTAATTGCACAGGGGGTGTCCTGGGATTAAAGAGGTGGGTGGAATATCAAGTGACTTTCTGTATGTTAGTGGCAGATGGGTGTTGGGAAAGACCCATGAACTCAGGTGAGGGGATGAGATGATAAAAAGACTCTTGATTTTGATGGAATGTTAAATACTGTGACATCCCAAACTGAAATAGTGTAATGTCACATTTGTTTCTGACTGACTGGATGAATGGATCAGACGTGGGGGTATTTCATCATTCTTACTTAAATAGTCCACAACACAAATTTAGTAATTTATCTTTAAAGGTGTCAGTAATAGTTTTTTGCTTTTGTTTTGTGCTCTCTTTCAGATTCTTCCTAAAGTTCTTCCTCAAGTGCAATCAGAACTGTCTGAAGAATGCAGGGAATCCACGAGACATGCGCAGATTCCAGGTGACTGAAGTCTATTTCTCACATATGCTCTGTCTATTTCTGTCTCTCACTGTCGTTTTGCAGGTGTACAAATGCAAAACTACACTACACATTGCCACACAGTCACATATGAATGCAATTCTATTGTTGGCACTGAAGGGCGCAAAAAACAGGGAAAGGGAGAGTGTGGGATTTTGTGTCCTGTGCGCTCTGGACAGAATATTTATTAGGGAATACCATCTGACACAAATAAAGATATAGGATTTAAGAGTGCCATCAATTGTGTTCCTGACAGGCTTCTGAGCCTCAGCGCAGAGGGGAGAACGATCCAACCACATGTAACAACAGTGTTAACTCAGGATCTGTCTGGCAGCGGAAACGCATACCTTCTTATACACACACATATGTGCTAGCACGCAGGCACCCACACACACACACACACACACACACACACATACGGATGCATAACCATACACGCTAGAAGCGCATATATTTGCTTTCTCTTCATCCCTCTCCCATTCTTAGCCACATATGCATACACTTAAACTCACATATGCAGTTCTCTGTATAGCCAGTGAAACTCGTCTTAAGCCATCTGAAAACCATCATTATTGTAGCCTGACAAAATGCTGTGAGATTTACACTAAAAGGACATGGCCATTGAGCACTTTTACTGCTTCTTTAACCCTCTCGCATCTAATGTGTCAGGTAGTTCAGCTTTGAAATGATTGACCCCCCTGCTGATCCATTTATCCAGCCATCCGTTCTACCCAGACATTTTCACCACAAGCAGTCCACTAGGTCAAGGTGAGACAGTGAGAGTTTGGTGTGATTTGTCCTATCAGGATAGTGACAAACTACAGGAGGGTGTCCGTCACTGACAGCACTGTTATGTGATAGACACACAAGCCAGCATCCTCCAGGAGGAAGCCCAGACATGAAACAGACAAGACAGGGTGTCCCCTCCTGATGTCACCACCATCAGACCTCCCCTGCCTCCTCAAATCTTCCCTCAGGGTGAATGTGGACTGATGCATGACAGCCACCAAGGGCTTTCACCTCTCACTTCCATGTCAAAAGAAATGCAACAACTAAGTTATAGCAGCACTCTTTTTGTGAAACTAAAATGTGGACATTAAGTCTAAAACAAGACGGTTTTTGATTTTTTTTTGCTGATGATCATGCCGTTTTTTGGTCCAACAGTTAGCATGCCATTTTTCCCTAAATAGATTTCCCAGATGCTCCACCATAGGTGTTTCTCTGGCCAAAGTTGTGTATTCTGCATGCCTTCCACTCCACTTATTACCCCCCAAAACCAGCTGGAGGCCAGAGAGGGCCCAATCCATCATCCTCAGCTTGGCCCAGCTCTGAACCTGCTCACAAGAATGGAGCTCTTTCACTTCCCCTTCTCTCCCCTCCTCCCTCTACACCCCCACCCTTCCCAGACCAACCAAAAAAAGCGCCCCCCTAAATTCCACCGCTACACCGAGGTCACTCACCGGCAAAGCAAACCTGAGAGGGGCTCTGTGTTTCCGGCTCAGAAACACTTTGGCCATTCACATGAGGCTCACTGTTTGGAGATGTGGTAGCCAAAAAACAACAACAAAAATAAGCATTATGAAATATGGAGTGTGGCTTGGAATCTGATCCTAGTAAAATGTTTGTTGAGTGATGGGATGGAGTACGGTTCAGTTGCTAATGACTCCAGTAATATTTTAAAAGGGAGGCCTTCCGTCCTCAAATAGATGGACAAGCTGATCAATAATTCTGAGCTTCGGCTATGATGACAGTTGGTAGAGTGGGTAAACGGAAATGGTATTTCAGTGATTGAAAAGTCAATTAGCTGTACACAGATGCAAGACACTAAAAAGCAAAAATAAAATGGCTGAGAAGCAGGGTAGCTGGAATGCAATGTCCAAAGAAAACACCCACTTCAGGGCAATAGCAATGAATTGCACGCAGGCATGTACCTGGACACAATTAAATTTCTAAAGCCTTCATGTATGCCTTTTACCCCAGAACATTACTGAGAATGTTTGTAAAACTATACAGCATGCTATATTACCTGTTTCACCTTCACTCCTCTTGCAGGTTGTCGTATCGACGACCGTCAATGTGGATGGCCATGTCTTGGCTGTCTCTGACAACATGTTCGTACACAACAATTCTAAGCACGGGCGAAGGGCTCGCAGACTCGACCCTTCAGAAGGTACGCCTCCTTATCTGGAGAATGGTAGGCACATTTTTACATCTTATAATTTGCTTCGCTCCTTTTTTCCTCACATCCTCCCATTTTCCAAAATCACACACCTAGTTACTAGTTGCTTCTAGTTTCTGAGAATCATTTGCTCCATCACTTTCACTTTGACAAGTTGCTTTTTTGCCTCCCTCATACCTGTTGTTGTGGCTTGACTGGAAATAGAATACATTGCTCAGTGTATTTATTAATTTAGATATCACTAATGTGGATGCTAACACGTCTAATTTATTATTTTAAAACCTTATGCTACTTCAAGTCTCCTAATGCACCTACATTTGTCCTAAAAGGCTATGTGAAACATGATCAAATTGCTTAAGAATTTGGCTGTGAGGTCAATTTCCTGTCATTGGGTTCTGCAGATTTAGCAGTGAGAGAGCTGAAACAGGGGGAGGAAGGAGAAAGAGAGAAAGGAGGGGGGAGAGAGGGAAGGGTGGGTGTGTGGAGAGGGAGGGGGCATATGAGAAAAACAGAACTTACTGTTTTTCTTCCAACTGATTCCATATGATAGACTGATTGCCTTCTCAGCCAAAAGAGAGAAAAGAAGGACCACCAAACCATGGGAAATCCAAAAAGTAAAATGCACTAAACATAACCTTATGACCCTCATGGCCTCCACTGGCAGATGGAAGCACATACAGCTGAAAGATTGTAAGAAAAAAAGAAGTGACTTGGACCAATTGTGCAAATTGCTTATCTTCAGATTTCAAGAGCCAATTATGGCTGGGCAAACAGTTTATATACACCACTGACTAAAACAAGCTTCTCTACACATTAATGGGCATTAATGGTTCTATCACCAAAAGCAAATGTAATGTTTAATACAACAACGACTAATAAAAAAAAAAGACTAGACAATTAATATATCTCAGTGCTCTCCAGTCCTAGTGGGGGAAAAAGCTAATCTATTTGTTTTTGTCTTTATTAATGACTCCTCTACTGGAGAACAAAATCAAATAATTAAAGTCCTGCCCGGAGCACCAAAGTCATTATGTTCGCTGACGTTCTGTTTGTGTGTTTCACGTTTATGACACGATAGGTGTGGATCGCCTAGCAACCAGTTTCTTAATGAGGGGAGCAATTAAAGAGGTTGAGCCCTCGCCTTCGTGTTCCCTCGCTCCCAGGGGGCCGCATGTGTTGTGTGTGTGTCTATGTGTGTGCCTGTGTGTGTGCTCGTGTTCTTTACAGGTTACCCCAACCCATCCTTTTCTTCCTCCCTTCACCACACTCTTCAAAGCAGCAGAGTGACGCCCCGTAAAACAAGAAAAGAAGCTATTGTCAACCGCCCAGTTGAACATGTCTTTGTCTGATAACTTTAATACACCTTCCCCCTTCTTAACCGCGTGTGCTCTCACAAGTTGAGATCCGGGGTGGGGGGTTCTCGCCCTCCAAGCTCCATAACAAACTAATTTAACATGCATCAACAACGATCGCTCGCTTTGTTTGAGTCACCTTTTAACAAACAGAGATGTGACACACGAGAAAAGGAGACCTTGGTCATAAAATGTAATTCCAGCCATGTCCTCCATAGTGCTCTGACAACTAGCAGGCAGGCAGACAGACAGCATGCTTTAAATTAGCAACACATTCTTCCCCGGGAGTTCACTGGGCGAGAAGCCTCAGATATGTGGCTGGCTGGCTGACTGTGTGGCTGAAACAGAGAGGCATCCTTCCTCCCAGCTCAGCTCACACTGCACTTGTACCGACTGCCTCACATTGATCAAGAGGTGCTGCCCCCTGTTGGTGCAGAGGCAGGATTGTCTGACAGACTAAATCTCACCATGTGACATTTTTGTTCACTTGTGTGTACTGTCACACAACAAGCATATTATGCATTCAGACACGAATGTGCTTTGTGACTGCCTGTCACTCAAACATGTATAGATTCAGGCTCAAAGGTGCATAAACATGCTCACAAATAGTCTTTCACACACAGCATCGCCCCCCCCACACACATACAGACACACACGAATAGCCTCGACACACCACACACAGACTCTCACTTTCTCTCACTCACGCACACACACACGTTCCTTAGCTCAGTTCCACCATTATAGAGCCCCAGACAATATAGGAGACTCAGCATAGAGCCTGCAGCGCCTGCCTCATTTGCATGCCAAGTGGCTGTAATGCTGTTAGGGTTTATGCAATAAAGACAAGTGAATCCAGACTGCTGGGCCTAAGAGGAAGAAAGAGAGGGAGAAAAGAAGGAAGGGGGAAAATGAGAGGAGGAAAGGAGAAAGACAAGGAGAGAGCATGAGAGAGAGAGAGAGAGAGGCAGAGGGAGAGAGAGCAAGAAAAAGAGAGAGAGATAGAGAGAGAGAGAGAGTCAAAGGGAACAGATGGCCCAGGGAGAGGTAAAAGGTATAATCCCATCAGCTGCACTATCAACCGACCATCTGGACATCCCACAGCACAATTACAACACATTTCAGCAGGCAGAACAAAGGATGGCTTCGCAGGGCCACATCAGACCTGTTTGAGTGTCACAATACTAGAGCTGGGACCTCCTGTGCTCAGATCTCGGATCAGTTTTGACGTCCTCGACGGGTAACCGTAACCAGAGAGGAAAAAGATTAGGACGGATCACAGATCGGCGAAGTGGATCTGGAATGAAATCAAGAACTCAAACAAAATGGATAGGGTAACAATCTCCCCCCCCAACACACACACCCCGACAAAAAAACAAGCCATGACATATGAATTCAAATCGAGTGAATTTCCTCTACTGTAGCCCAAAGTTTGCAAAGACTTAGTGATGCAACACTCAGACCGGCAGGCCGGCTCTTTGCATCCTCATCCGTCCACTCCTCATGATGCCTATCATCTGCTGAGGGGGCATTGTGCGTGTCTGTCATCAGATCGCCTGCGCTGACTGTGTAATCCACTTTTCCACGGTCCCCATTCAGCACATGCTCCCCTCTCTGTCTGTGCATTGAGACATATGCAAATTTTTAGGCAGAAGGGTGGACGGCTTAGGGCCTCAGTCGCTGCCTCTCCATGGGTCCTTCTGTGTGTGGGAGGGGGCACTGGGATTTCCAAGGTGGTGCGTCTGTGTTTGTGTGCGTGATTGTGTATGCCTGTCGTAGGTTTCAGGCTGCAGCTGCCCCCCAACAGTCACTGTCACCATCAGGCCCTCTTCTTGCCTCCTCCTCCTTCCTGCCCCCCCCATCCCCAAAGTCAATTTGTTTACAGTAATTTTGAAGGGTGAATTATTTGCTGTAATCGTCCACACTGATGAAGGTCAGGCCCTTAGAGGGGGCCCAGCATGCCCATAGAGGGTTGGTCCTCTTTCAGACGCTCCGCTTCGCAATTAAGGAAAGCAAATGTCACTCCTCCAGGCCTCACAAATGAAAATCTGTACGAGGTGATTAGCATGAAGTCAACAGCGCCTGTTAAAGTCAGATTCCCTGTAGTACCAATGTGTGTGTGTGCACTTTATGGGCAGGGAGAGAGAGCAAACATGACCTGAACAGACCCAACAGCAAGGCAAACAAAGGAAGATGTCTTGTCTGAGGTGATCCATACAACAATGGCTGACTGTGATTTACTTACTGGATGGAAAGGATAATAGAGGTTTAGAACAAGCTTGTAAAGAAAAAAGGAAGTTGCTGAAATAGTTGCTCACATTTTGAGGAGTAGGGAAAACATGCACAATTTATAGTGTATTAAAAGATATTGATGGAAATAGATTAAATTTGATATTGGTATTTTATGGCTAGCCGTCATGCTATTTCTGTTGTAAACACGGTGTTGTGCTGAACACCATATTAAGGTAATGCATCAAATGACAGTGAATGTGAGGCACCAGATCACTCAAATTAGATTATAATAACAACCCAGACTGTTGATGAATGGCAGAGCTACATAGCAGAAGTCATGCCAGATGAAAAGCATTGTAATAAACAATATGAAATGGATTGAATCGATCACAAAAAGAAAGAAAAAAAAAAACTCAATCTGAATAATTCATGAGGGCATTTCACGTTATGAAACCTGAAACTCCTTTCAGTGTGCCTGCACTGTACTGCATATACAGAACAAAGGTAATGAAATAACATGAACCAGCAAAGCTTTAGCTTGTCATTTCCACTTTAACAGCCCGTATTCTTGACTCATTTAAGATTTGTTCAACTTTGAAATTTTACTGTACATGCGGGTGCATGCTTAATCAATTCTGATAGCTACATTTGCCCTGACACATAATTTGCTCCATCAAATCATTTTCCTGGCGAGCCCGGCGTTTAGCCTTTGTGAAGTGGACCATTTGAAGGGTCTGCTTAACTACACCACTCCAGCGCGCTGATAAATGATTTTGATTCTCATGCCTTAAAGGACAAATCCATCATTTTTTTTCCAGGGGTAATTTCCATGATATGTCTTTGTGAGAGAGACACATGGAAGGCTGAACGTAGGGGTGATGCAGTCATGTGTCTTTGTAGAAAGAGACATGGGGCAGATTGTTGAAGCTTAGGTGCTGAATCTGCTCTTCTCTCTTTGTCTTGGATAAGCAGCCACCCCATGCATCAAGGCTATCAGCCCTAGTGAGGGATGGACCACCGGAGGAGCCACTGTCATCATCATAGGGGACAACTTCTTTGATGGCCTACAAGTCGTGTTCGGCACCATGCTCGTATGGAGTGAGGTGTGATCTTGATTATAGATTTGACAAAAATGATGTGAAATTGTAATGAAACTGATTGATTTTAATTAAAGTATTATTTAGAACAACTTGTTCAACTCAAAACAAACTTTCAAGCCAGTAGTTAACAGTTCAGACTCTAGTTGGTTATTACAGAGGGTCATTCATGTTTTCTTTTTCTCTGTAATCTAGCTGATAACTCCCCACGCCATTCGAGTCCAGACTCCACCTCGGCACATCCCCGGTGTTGTGGAAGTCACGCTGTCCTACAAGTCCAAGCAGTTCTGCAAAGGTGCCCCCGGGAGATTTGTCTATACTGGTGAGTCAAAACCTTCTCTTCCTCCCCCACCCATACCTCCCTGTCTGGATGGAGCACTCACTCTCAAGACCAGGCGCTAATAATGAACTAACCAGGGGCCTGCTTGCTGAATGTTAAACTGTGAGAGATCTGCACTGCTAGCGAAAAGGTTTTTTGTGGAGGGGCACCTACAAGTGCAACTCGATCCCCCTCTGACCTGCCATCATACAAGGGCACTGCCAAGCTCTGTAAGACTCAAGCTGTCGGGATAACTCATTCTGCCAATTCTCTTTATCTGTCCTGTTGCGAGACAGATAATGCTTGCTGCTAATTTGCTGATTTTGTAAGACAAAGTGCGGTTTAATTTTTTTATGAATCAGATTAGAGAAGCAGTCTCCAGGTTAAGTGCACGAGTGTGTCGAAAGTTATTCTCATGCGTGTTCAGTATGAATTCACGGGAGAAGAGAAAGTGTGCAAAGAGAAGAGAGAGATGTGTGTGTAAGAGAGAGAGAGAGAGAGAGAGAGAGAGAGAGAGAGAGAGAGAGAGAGGGTGTGTGTATCACACTATAAGTAAGGGATCTGATTATCTTGGCTAACAGAAGGAAGTGGTGGTCTTATCTGTCATCATTGGTGAGGAGACAGAGGTTGCGGGGGTCAGAGCCTGTCTGACCTGGAAGCCTCTGTCTGTTCTAACTCTGACGGGCAGAATGAAACGGGGGCGCGTCAAAGCACTCTCACTTCCCCCAGCACCCCCGGGTCTCCAGCACAGCCCTGGCCTTGAGCACAGCAGAATTGCAAAGTGGGGGCTGGAACCCCCCACCCCCATCCAGACCCCTCCAACCTGGGGCAGCTGTTTCTCATCAAGTCCCCCCTCTCTCGCTCCCCAAACCAACTCCACCACTACCACCCCCAGCCATCCGTCCCCTTCTCCTCCAACCGTGCAGTCTGGCCCAGCTCTCCTGCATTTAACCTCCCTAGCAGGAGCGGAGCAGAGGCCAACAAGGCACCAGGATAATGAAACAGGAGTGCAGTGTGGCTGTGTAAATGTATGTGTGTCTGTTTGTGTGAGAGGTTGTGCGAGCGAGAGGAAGAGAGTGCGTGTGTGTGCATGAGGATGTGTGTCTGTGTGTACATGTGTTACTGCACAGCCCGGAGAAGGTGTATAAGTTAAGACATTAATGGCTTCTATAGCACCCTGGTGAAAGTGCCAGGTCCCTTAAGAACAGACCCCATTAGTCACAGAGGCTAAGCGGATTGGGATGATTACCATCAGGTTTTACTGGGAAACGTGTCCCCTTCTCTCTATCTTTGTTGATTCCCTCCCCCCCCATTCTTTCTCTCTGTCTTCCCTGGGTTCCTACTCACTTCCAGTTAGTATAAAGATACAATTACCCCTGGAGGCAACGGTGGTACAATTGATTAGTGCGCTGAATTAAAAGAGAAAGTCACCAATAGACAGGTCCGGCTCCTCTGCTCTGCTATTCCCTGTGTGGCTCACCCTTATTGTACAAGGGTTGACACTTGAGAGAATGAAACCGTTAAAGAGCGCAGAATGCATAACGCTAGAATTAGGTATCACTGACTCCATATGTACAGTAATTGCTAGGTGAAGGGATGTTAGCTACTTCTTACAGACATTAAAAAGTGAATGGGCTGATGCATTGAGCGCGAGAGAGCGGATCATTTGTTTAAGAGTGAAACAGCTCAATTCAAAGCATAGCTTTTCTTTCTGTGCTACGCCACTTGAAAAAAAATATGGCACTACACGAGCAAATAGGTTTGAAATGACCTGGAGTTACAATAGCAAATTACATGGGCTGAAAAGGGCATGTAGTGACACAGTGCTGTCCAAAAGGCACAGAATTTTCCGGTGTCACATTGGAGAGCAACATGTGCATATCAAAGATCTAGTTATCAAAGTGTATGGCTTCAAGCGTAACTTGAGAGCACGGCTTGAGAGAAGTGCCTTTTTAGACGTTTTTTTTTTCCTTCATGTTGACACTTCTTGCACCACCACCCTAATTGTGGAGATTTAACTCGCTCAATTTAAGAAATTATAACAAATTACCAAGAGTCAACACAGAAGAGACTGAAGCCAATTCGAACAGCAGAGGGACACGTCCTCACTCGGGTTAGTACCCTGGAACGGCTCCAAAACTCACAATCCATTCTCAGAAAGAGAGCACCCTGTAGTGTATGTCAAATAATCCTGTTGGCATTGACTATTGAATGTTTAAAACACTAATGAGACAAACAGACATACTATATAAAACTTTAGTGGGCTATAGTTTACAGACTGCTTCAAGGAGCTTGTATCTGTACTTTAATTGGTACATTTTTAAAGGAATGACATGTTGGCTATTTTTGCTATTTTACAGTCTATACCTTTTACCTTCTAACAAAATGTTGTCCCTTGGAGCTTGCTAGCTTGTCCTCTGTCTAATCCATGTATTGGTTATCCATTGGTCCAACTGTCAGCAAGGTTGTAGAAAATAAAAAGGAGTCCTGGCTGTACCTGAGGTCAATACTTTATTATACTTTCCACTTTATTAAGCACTGCAAACAGTACATGCTGGTTTAATCAGATATCTCTTAAAGAGAAAGTCTTCATTTTCAGCCTCATTTGCAGCACTCTAACCTTTTTACTGCATAGTCACAACACTGTATGAAAAAGTAAATCATAAATAAAAACTTTGACCATATAATTTATTCAATTTAAGCTCCTAATTGCATCAGAGCTTTTGGTTTTCTGTCTTGGCCAAGTTTCCACGAGTGCTCCCCTCCAGGGGCAACGATGCAGGCCCTTGGTAATACGGTTCTGCAAGCAGTCCAAACCGACTCAGGCACTATTTATCCTAATCAGTGACATCCACATAACCAGGATTGCTTAAAATGAACCCCTTCCGCGCCCCAGAAAACGCACATTTACCGGGACCCCATTTGTCATGGGTAAATTGAGGGTCAGTAAACTTCGCCTGTATCCTCCAGTGGGGATCCAGGACATGCATCATAACGTTAGGAGAGAATGATTGGCGAAGGCGAGCTGTCACACATTTGTCAGGGGGAAGGGAACATTATTTGCTAATTTCCCAAGCTGGGCACTGACAGGGTGCTTCGTCTTCAGACCTTTGGTGACCAGCATGGCTTCTCAGCTATTAGTACAAGTCAAGTGTTTATTCCTTTTTTCTTTTTTTTCTCCCCCTCACTGTAAAGTGGCAGTAATAAGAGCCATTCGTTCGACCTCACAAGATCGCAGCACACTGGGTGAAGGATTTTGGATGGAGTAGATGCCCCATACAGTGAGCTGCTCTTGCCAGGCCTTAGTTGAGGCCAGACAGCCTTGAGGGCTGATGGATCACAAACTTTCCTCGTCAAGGTGACGCTATCGACTCCACTGCACCAAAATCTGACAAAATGGGTATGAGGCAGTCATTCATCAACATAAGGACAAAGGGGTCATGTGTGCTTCACTCAATACTGGTGGAGATCAAGAAATGTCAGCACTGTAAGAGATAGAAAAAGGAAAATGTTCATAGTGCAGAAGTGAGGTCTCTTTAGTTAAGCTTCAACTACATATTACTCTATGAATCTTAAAAGAAATTCTATGTCCTTAAATGCATGTACAATAGATGTCCACCTAAACTTAACCGGCAACCTTTTAGTGCTGCAAGTCAGAGATATAAATAGTGATATCCAGTTTTCAAATCCAAAATTAAACTCACTTCACTCTTACAAAGAGGAACAAATTGCTGCAGTTTTGGACCCTCCTCTCTAAAAATTTAAATAAACAAACCCGGACGTCTTTATCGGAGCACATCAGATAGGGCCCTGTGCTGTTGAGCTCGTGAATTGGGTCTATCCTTGCGTCTCCTCTCCACCCTGCCGTCACTTTGAAGTCCCAGACTCAGAAGCTGATCAGATGGACAGCTTCCTTTTCATTTCCTGTCCTGCAGGGTTGGGTTTGGTATTCTGTTGGTTACTGGTCAGTGATGGGGTGTGGCCTACAGCAAAGATATGCTATAATCAAAGGCATTCAAGGAGGTATGTAAACACATTAGCTTTAGAGGAGGACTTAAACGCACACACCAAATACTACGTATAAGCATTGTTGATTTCAAATCCCTAAATCTACTACACAAAGCATTTCAGGCTTGAGATAATTTATTTATTTATCTGCAGATTAAAAAAAATCGACTCTGCAGTATGAACTGCTCCAAGTAAGAATGAAATAGACATTTATAAATGTCATCGCCACAGTCAAGTAGGTTGTAACCAGTTGGCACAACAGTTTTAGCATGTGTCAAAGCGTGTTATCCACTAGCCATATCCCCATACCTGCCTGTCTCATTACAACTCTGGTATTTAGCACTAGCTCCACAGGACTGGAGCAGACGGTCGTTGCCAAGTTAGATGGGCCTGGTTTGAAGGCCTTGTGAGCTTGTGTGGCGCGCGACAAGGTTCCACGGAGGAAGGTCCTTGTGCCCAATTAGAGGGCTGACGTGACACGTGCTTGCACTCCCCCACTGTCAGGCAGCTTGTCAGGTAGGCTTTGAGAAGCACACTGTGGCATTATTCCACAGCGTGTTATCAGCAAGTGACCTGTGAAATCCAGCTCTGGGAAATTGATTGAAATAAGTACTTGCAGTTGAGCATGTATTTTCCCCCCACTACATCGCTCTGTGAAATGTATTGTGGGTATCTTTTCAAGAGAAAAATGAAAGTATGGGTGTGTTTTTTCTCCCAGTAAGGATGGTATTCATTGATTTAATTTTAATTGGACCCACTTTTTGTCCCACAGTATCGTTAGAGGTCTGTTTTGTAATGGCTCTTAAAATGGATTGTCCTCACTAAGTCACAGCATCACTCCTCTGCCACAGGAAAGATAGACGGAGGACGCAGGGAGGGGGCTCTTGATAGACGAGGATCTTTCCCCTCCTCCTCCTCCTCCTTTCTCTACCTCCTCTTCTTGCCCCATTTTCAGCATGATCCACACCCAACGGGCTTTAAAAGAACTCCTCCCC